TGGTGCATCGTGTCGAACAAGTGAACGTTGGAAATTCGGCTAATCTGGGAGGTGAAGACCGCAAGTTCAGGTCGGTTATTTACAAGATTGCACATGCCTTAGGAAGGTCCTCGAAAACACGCTTTGCTTTTAATCTCAAGAGGGTTTAATTCAATTTTCAATTAATAGTTTCTCCTCTGACTTTTCTCAGTGAAACTTTGCGTGACGTCATTGTTTTGGTTCGGTAAATAATCTAACAAGGAAAGGATGGTAGGTCGAAGTGGCCGTTTAAAATGAAGATGTATACCACCTGATGCGTCTCCAGACGCTGATTCCAAATCTGCCTTCCAAATCTGCTAAACGACTCTCCGAACGGAGTTATGAAGCGTAATAGCTCAGTGGTGATGGTCCGGGGTGGCAGGTAAAAGCTCGTAGGATCGGTTCCTTTGCGAGTTTGTTCCTTTGCTTTTATCTGCTACATTTCTGAGAAAACTTTATACACGTTATTCATCAATAGTTACCTAGAATTACCTGCACGAAGAGTTTGGCAGCAGTTGCTGACAAGTTTAGCCACTGCTCCTCGTCAACTTTTCAGGTTAGGTCAAAATTTCAGATTTTGCTGAAAATTTGTTCTATGAGGTAACTTGGCACCCTGATAACGAATATCGGATTCGTTTTGCGCGAAAACGTGTGGCACGCACGCTACGGGCGAAGAGAACAGTCATGCGGGAGCAGAGGCTAACTTGTCAGCAACTGCTCGCAGTCTCTTGCAGGCAATTATAGACAAGAGTTGAAGAAATAACTAGGATAAATGTTTTCTAGGTGTTGCGGACAAAAGCAAAGCAACAACTTGCCGAAGGAACCGATTACCTGCCACCCCGGACCATCACCACTGAGCTATTACGCTTCATAACTCCGTTCGGAGAGTCGTTTAGCAGATTTGGAAGGCAGATTTGGAATCAGCGTCTGGAGACGCATCAGGAGGTATACATTCTCATTTAACGGCCACTTCGACCTACCATCCTTCCCTTGTAAGACGCGTTGATGGCGGCGCAACTTTCCTCGCATAAACGCGTACTGATAGATATTGCAACGAACTGGAGACAGTGCTCGCGCGGTTCAAGAATGTTGAGGCATTTTCTCTGACAAGGGAGGTCATTCCAGGCAGGGTCAACCCTACGTTGTTACTAGTAACAACGGGGGGGGGTCGTACCTGGTTGAGTTTGTAGGAGGGGGGGGTCGTATAGGTTGGGAGTTGGGAGCGCGCGGGAGAAAAATTCGCCGTTTCAGTGCGTAAAAGCGGGTAAAAGTAAGTAAAAGTAAGAGTAAAATGGTGGAAATTTAGGGGGTAGGTGAATTTTTA